GACCTGCCCCACAAAGGGTCAAAATTTTGAATAATTAAAGCTCTTATAAAATGTGATGTAAGAGTCCGATAGTCTTCAAATTCCACACATCCCAATAATTTTATTAGCCTAAGGTCTGGCGCAAAAACGGAATGTATCGGTCTACTCCTTCTGGTACTTCCCCCACAAAAGGTCGAAATTTTCAAAAAATATTTTTTGCACAAAAAGAGAAACGATAATCCGACTTTGCTCGAACTTTGCAAATCCTCATATTTTCATCAGTGCAAGGTCATGTGCGAAAATGGACAATATCGGTCCACTCCATCAAGTACCTTCCCCACAAAGGGTCAAAATTTTGAATAATTACAACTCTTATAAAATGTGATGTAAGAGTCCGATTGTCTTTAAATTTCGCATATCCCAATATTTTTATTAACCCAAGGTCTGGTGTTAAGAAGCAATACATCGGTCCACTTCTCTTGGTACCTCCCCAACCAAAGGTCAAAATTTTCAAAAAATATATATAAAATATATTTTATGCACAGAAAGAGAAACGATTAGCCGATTTAGCGCTAACTTTGCAAATCCTAATATTTGCGTCAGTGGTAGGTCGGGTGCGAAAATGGACAGTATCGGTCCACTTCATCAAGTACCTCCCCCACAAAGGGTCAACATTTTGAATAATTATAACTCTTAAATAATGTAATGTAAGGATCCGAACGTCTTCAAATTTCACACATTTCAATATTTTTATAAACCCAAGATCTGGTGCTAACATGGAATGTATCGGTCCACTCCTTCTGGTACCTCCCCCACAAAACGTCGAAATTTTGAAAACCCATGAAGCTCATAAAACGCCAAATTAACATCCGATTCCATTTAGATTTGCCACATCTCAATATTTCTATCAACACAAGATCTGTTATAAAGGTGGTATAGATTGAACCATTTCTTCTCCCCCATACATAGGGTTCAAGATTTTGAAAAACAAAACTCTCAAATAAAGCGAAATAAATATCCAACTCTCTTTAAATTTCACACACACAAATACTTTTGCTAACACAAGATCTGTTGTGAAATTGATATATATCTGCCAACCCCTTCTGGGGTCACAATTTTCAATAATTATATCTGTTATAACAACAACAATTTAGCAATACTTTACTACGTGCTATTCTCAAATATTTCTCTCAATAAGAAGCTTGATATGAATATGAAATTTATCGGTATTTATGATTTCGCATAAAATTGGACATAAATATCCTTTCTTTTAATTTTTCCCAATATTTCGCTCAATATTTTTTATTTGTATCCGATGAAGTATAAAAGTGGAATATTTCGGTAGACTCTATCTTGTAAATCACGCACATTTTAACACTTTCTAAATATTATTACATATCTCATATAAAGTGAAGGAGTGAGTCGATATAATCCATACTAGGAACGTCGGAATATTTATATCATATTTTTGGGTCCGATACGAAATGAACAATATTGGCCCATTCCTTCGGAACCTGCTCCATAGAGGGTCAAATGTTTGAATAATTGTAGCACTAGTCAAATTATATTTAAATAATCGAACACAGGCTGAGGGTATATATCTGCCGGCAATACCGACTGATACTTTTTAACTTGTTTTTAATTTTATTGAATGAAAGCAAAAAATGTCGGAAATAGCATCAAATTTTAGAATAAGTTTAGATATGTTGGAATTTGTCACCTTTGGCACGAATTATGGCTTTCAAACGGCCAATGAAACCGTCACACGCTGCCCGAATGTTTCTCTGCGGTATTTTGGCCCATTCCCGGCGAAGCGCTTGCTTGAGGTGATCGACACTTTGGTATTATTTAGTGTCAACCTTGCTTTCCAAAATACTCCAGACAAATATTGGTGGCCATTGTGCGCTGGAAATCAAGCGAGGAACCTCATTTTGTAACCATTCTTGGATAGCACGTGCTGAGTCCTGTTGAAATGTCCAATGTTTGCGGCCAAAATGTTTGCGTGCCTAACGCATTAATACACCCTCCAGAATATTTTTGCGATAATATTCGGCATTTATTCTGATGGCACGGCCGATTAAAACGTGTGGAGAGCGACCATTGTCAGTTATGGCGGCCCACACCATCACCGTGGCCGGCACTTGAGTTCTGGGAGCCAACCGAAGGTGCACATTTTCATCTGACCTCTTTGGCAAGCAAACATGATGTTCAGCTCACGAGCAATTGTCGGCCCCTGCGACGCTTGAATTCCATCACGAATAACTTTTTTTCTGGAAAATTTTCACCAAAGTGTTTTATGCGCTTGTAAACAATATAAAAAGCTGTTACTGGAATAATTTTAACTGCTGTCGGACGAGTGGCTTAGAAATGACAGCAGTCTGAAGTTGGATGCAGTTTTTTCATCTCACCCTGTACGTACAGTCTTCCTTCCGGTACCTCCCATACAAAAGGTCAACATTTTCACAGAACATAATTTACAGTAGAACAGTGTGGCTTGTTTGTTCGGGATACCGTAGTATTTTGTTGTTGCAAAATGGTCTGGCTATATCCCTTTATTGTTGTTTTTATAAAAACAACGTTTGTTTATTAGTGGAGAACGATGGTAATGTTTACCAGGGGGTAAGGCAGGGAATACCTAGGTTTCGGAAAGAGCCACCAATCCTCATCAGTTCCCTTGTTTTTGTCTGGGATATTCTCCCCAGAAGTTATTTTAAAAATAACTTCTATGACAAAAAACATTTTTTACCCAAGTGACGAGATCGTAAGCTCAATAGAAGAGGAACCAAAGAATTAAATAAAACTAAAATTCTCTTGGAAAGTCTTCTAAATCTTACAACCGCACTTATAAACATTTACATCTTTCTCCACTTGTTATGCTTTCGTTCAGCCTGAACGAAGTAGCATAACCATGTAAGTTGGTTTTGTCTGTTACAACAAAAACCCCTTCGTCGACCGTGCCTTGTCTATTAATAGAACAGTGTGGCTTGTTTGTTCGGGATACCGTAGTATTTTGTTGTTGCAAAATGGTCTGGCTTTATCCCTTTATTGTTGTTTTTATAAAAACAACGTTTGTTTATTAGTGGAGAACGATGGTAATGTTTACCAGGGGGTAAGGCAGGGAATACCTAGGTTTCGGAAAGAGCCACCAATCCTCATCAGTTCCCTTGTTTTTGTCTGGGATATTCTCCCCAGAAGTTATTTTAAAAATAACTTCTATGACAAAAAACATTTTTTACCCAAGTGACGAGATCGTAAGCTCAATAGAAGAGGATCCAAAGAATTAAATAAAACTAAAATTCTCTTGGAAAGTCTTCTAAATCTTACAACCGCACTTATAAACATTTACATCTTTCTCCACTTGTTATGCTTTCGTTCAGCCTGAACGAAGTAGCATAACCATGTAAGTTGGTTTTGTCTGTTACAACAAAAACCCCTTCGTCGACCGTGCCTTGTCTATTAATAGAACAGTGTGGCTTGTTTGTTCGGGATACCGTAGTATTTTGTTGTTGCAAAATGGTCTGGCTTTATCCCTTTATTGTTGTTTTTATAAAAACAACGTTTGTTTATTAGTGGAGAACGATGGTAATGTTTACCAGGGGGTAAGGCAGGGAATACCTAGGTTTCGGAAAGAACCACCAATCCTCATCAGTTCCCTTGTTTTTGTCTGGGATATTCTCCCCAGAAGTTATTTTAAAAATAACTTCTATGACAAAAAACATTTTTTACCCAAGTGACGAGATCGTAAGCTCAATAGAAGAGGAACCAAAGAATTAAATAAAACTAAAATTCTCTTGGAAAGCCTTCTAAATCTTATAACCGCACTTATAAACATTTACATCTTTCTCCACTTGTTATGCTTTCGCTCAGCCTGAACGAAGTAGCATAACCATGTAAGTTGGTTTTGTCTGTTACAACAAAGTGAAGATTTTTTCTTCTTTTCAATTTGTTTTTCTTTTTCAATTTTATATAATGTACGACTTTTTTCAATTTGGCTTATCATATTGAGTTCAATCGTTTCTTGTAAACAGAATTAAGAATTATTTTCACCATATAAAAGAAAGTTATGTTAGTTAGTTAGTTAAAACTAAAAATGAAATGAGTGGGCAAAACGATGTCGATCATTCATGCCTAAAACTGGCATCTAGCTTTCAACTGCAGGACCTACATCGTGCTTCAGATGGAGGATGCGAACCCATTTAAACAAACAAAAAATTACCGACAAAGCTTTATGGGGCTCATTTCAAAACGTGAACCTACTTCTTTCATACGACAACAATACGTCCAATGAGAACTCAAAATGCAAAATTCATTGGGATTGCAATTAGTGAAATACCGAATATAAAGTGTGCAAAATAGTATATCGAATTGGACATTTAGTAAGAAGAGTATTTCAAACCTTCCAGAAATTCTTCCTAAACTTTCAATATACTTTAAATCATAGCCCCCGGATTAGGGTACAACAATGATTTCAAGTGAATTTCATTTGTCATTCTGATTTCGACAAATTTTGGTAATTTGAGAGAAACCAGCCTTGCAAAAATTATCACGTTTTGGCGATTTTGTAACACCCAATAGGATATTAAAATAGATCTGGGAAATGAAATAAACTCCAAAATGTCAAATTTTTTACTCATTCTGTCGGAAATTCTGGCAGAAACATGAAAAAATACGAATATTAGAAAGCAGCACGGGACCGGACATTTGTTTCATCGTCATTGAATCATACTATAATGAAAAATATGGTATTTCTGGGGTCTCCAAAGCACAATTTAAATGACAAAAAAATTAATTACATTCTTTAGATCCTATGTCATAACTTTGCTAGCATAGTTGATGGTTTCATTAAATACAACTGTCAGTATAGGAACTCCACAAAGGACACATTTCAATATCAAATTCCGAGTTGGGTCACCTACATTTAACTGTAGCACAATTTCAGAACGTTTTGCATGCTTCATTTAATGATTCATTGTTCTCTAAATTTCTATATATATTTTTTTTAATTTAAACATTTTTATAAGGAGGCAGACCAAAGAGGAGCTTGTTGTTTGTCTTCCTTTAGAAACTGAAGGTGAATTCTACCGCTGCGTACCTCACGATAACCTTAACATTGAAACCGCATTCTATTGGCAATGCCTAACAGAGCACCTCTATAACGAGATGGCAGAAGAAATAGACCTCATAATACCAGAATTAAGCGTATTCTGTTCCTATATAGACGCTTATTGCAGAACCCGAAAACGTGAAATGGATAAGTTCGAAGCAATGGAATTTCAGTACATTTTACTTTCACTAATGGAAATACTACATATGTTTGACTTGGGTGATGAAATTGGAAGGGGTAACTTGCAGAATCTCTTGGAGAATTTGTTGAAGAACTACAGCTTGGACGAGAAAGTAGTCGAGATCATCGTAAAATGCGCAGAAAACCTTATGACTAATCAGGATACTCGTCATCAGGTAAGTTCTTGATTTCTTAAAAAGAACGAAATTATACATCCCATAATCAGTTCTTTTTAGATATCATCAATGACATATGTGGTTTAAGTGCTAAGCAACAGGATTTAGTGCATGATCGAAATCTTATAAGCGAATTGCTGGCCAACTCTACTGATGCTGCTTTAAACCTTAAATTGTCATCATTGAAAGTTAAAATATTAGATTTAGAAGAACAAGAAATGAACTACGTTCAAATGAAGGATTATGTCCGAGCACAACAAATAATTGAAATCAAAAATACAGTAACTGAAGAGTTTACAAATTTACTTCGCCCGTTGTTAGATAAGCGCAATGGGGAATACGGTAACGAAATTCGGCCACAATTTTCGAAAGTTGTGAAAAATGAATGTATTTTAAGAAGCCTGCAAATAACATATTACATGGTGGTTTCCAAACGTGTCCAATCGCTGGGTCACGCAACTTGTCGCCTCTATAACGTATGATTAAAAATACCCGTAACGTCCATAGAAAGTAACAACTTTTTTTTGCAGGACTTCATATTCAGGAACATAGCTTCTAATCAAATAGCTATTCGCGATTGGGCGCTAAAGTGTGGGGCTGCTTTTAGTATGTTGTACGAACCTCTGGCTAAGGACGTTTTTGATGAGTTATATGCTCAGTTCTTCAAAAATCATAATATTCGCATATGGGAAACCGCAATTTCTTGCATATTCGAACTTTTGGATCGTTATGGTGTAGATAACTTTGTAGTTCAAGAAGAACAAAACAAATCTAAAAAAACTGGGCGGCAGTTGTACAACACTCTGGAATTTATTGATGCTGATGAAGATACCGTACATTCTGCAACATTGGGCCAAGGTGTCGGTGTTATTTACATGATGTCTCACTTTTTGGATACTTGCGATGATATGTGTATAGTAAGAGCTATTATTGATGGTTTCTGCAGATTAGTGTTGCATGGTCATATTGATAATCGTGACATAATGGAAAAGTTACTAATTCGCTATTTTAATCCAGCCACTGGTATGTATTAATTAGGTCCCAATTACCATAAAGAAATGTTACCTATAACATTATGATTTCTAGAACCACAAATAAATCAAATACTGAGTGTATTTCTTGAGAATCTTATACAAAATAGAAAGCAACGGCTGTTGCAACCGTGTATAATAACTACAGTTAATTCCGTGCTGTCAGCTCCATATGATAGTCCTCTACATGATATACGCCCTGAGACAATTACCCATTTCATCATAGACACAACTCGCCCTGAGGCACTTTCCGCAGGACCAACCAAGGAAAACTCACACAATGCTTTAGCCTTAACATTCTTGACAGAAATGGTAAATAATCCGAACAATAAAGAACTCTGTAAATTACTGGCAAAGGACTTGCTAAGCCTCGATGTAAATTTATCAAGCGACGAACAACTTAAAAATGAGATGAAAGATCTAGCTGATAAAGTTATTCAGGTAAACGTGACATAAAATACAAGTTATAGCTGAATAAAATATTTTTAATATAATTGATTAATTTCAGAATAAATTTGATCCAAAAACAGTAAAGAATGTTATTGATTTCAAAGATCTTCTAGACGGTGTATTTAATCCTCATCCAAAACGATTGGATGTGGACTTAGTTTCCGATGACGAGGAGGAAGGCACAATCGATTCTTATGTTGATGATAATATTTCGGATAAGCAAAAACATTGCGAAACTGTTGTGGACGGCTTCACGGAAAACCAAGCGTCAGAAGAAAACAATGATACACTAACGGATGTTCCCGTTTCAACCTCAGCAATTAATATTACAACTACATTTGGAAGTGAAAATCGCACCGTACACAATCTTCTTCGAAGATCAAGACAGTCGCGTAATGATTCAGTTGATAGTACTCAGTTAACATTTAATGAAAATGAAACGAGACCAAACAAAATTCGAATTGAAGCACGTATTGACTCTGATAAAAAAGTAGGGGAATCTTTGTCCAGAAAATCTGATCGTTCAAATACTTGTGTTCGTCGAAATCTCCGTTACAATAAAAAATCAAACAATGTCAACAAACAAAAAGAACCAGAGACAATCATAGAAATGATTTTGACAAGTCCAGTTAAACTACCGCCAGTGACAAGCCAGCGCACCACTACTACTATGGAGAAGCAGACAACGGAGAAAATCTCCCAAAGTCTACTGAGTGCAAAAAATTCAAAATCGTTGACCGTAAAGCAGGCGGAAGACAAACGAGAAAAAGAAACAACTGGTGCCGAGTCCGCTATGACTTCAGTATCACAAACTCATGAAGAAATAATTGTGTCAGTTGCCACAGAATTAATGGAGTCAACGGAAGATGTAAGTATATTGATCTGTTCTAGTTGATTTTTAATAATAGTGTTTTTATTACTATTTATAGTTGCACACATCAGATGTAATACCTGCCTCGCCAACTGCCACATGTTTAGAAAAAACAATTCGCTTACGAGTTACAGATTCCGTACGTTCGATGCGCAGTCGTACTAACCGCAATGATTCACAAAGTAATGGAAAAGTGAGTACGACTCCAACTACCAGAAGTAGAAGACTTCATATGTAAAGAAGACAGAAACATAATATACATTACTTCCATTATCCAACAAAATTCTATTCAAACAATGAAATAGTTTGCCTCCCTATGCCAGACACAATGTCCATCTAAATATTGTGTTTCCATCCCTTATGTTGTAACTGTGGCAATTATTTTTACTAAAATACTAAAATTGAAAAAGAAAACAAATCTTAAACTGTGTATCATTTTTCATTCGCAGTGGGCTAATAGAATTAATTTTATGTTTCCAAATTCATATATATGTGCAATATATGCATATGATTTTAGTTGTGGAGGCAAACAATAGGAGAGATGATGGAGGGATATGTACCATCTTTTTTCTTTTACTTTTTGTGTAACTTAAACATAATCACCATTGTTTTATTAGGTCGTGGATTCTACTCCCTTGCGAAATGGACGAAAAAGAGTATTGCGAAAATCCCCGGTACGTAAGACATCGGCCGCTTCTGTGAACTTATCGTCGCCTTTGCGAAAACAACCCTGCGTTAAAATAGGTAAATTTAATATACATAGAGTAACATTAACATGGGTGCTATAGCTCGACCTGGACATATTAAGCATTTTCAGAAATAGCTCACAACTTTTGGAAAATTTCGTTGCTTTGCTTGCATTTTTTAGTCCAGATGGAAAAATACTCAAAAAATATTTTTAATTTGTTAATATCAAACCAAATTTATTTCTTATATTTCTTAGAGGAGGGTATTTTTACTTTGATTTAGCAAACATATTTTTTTTTTTTCTTGAAGGACGGATACCCGGATAATTGACCCGGACATACATGTTTTACTATCTGACAAACTAGCTGATGAATTAGATTCTGTAGCTGGTTTTCAATTTCCTACTAAATTCCCATTATGATGCGTATCATGATGTGTACGCGATCCCTACGTAAAGGTTGGTCGCCCCCTCGGTGGACAGGGACGGAAATGTGGGGCGTGGGAACGTTCGAAAAAAAATCAAAATATTTATTTTTAGCGATTAGCGCGAGGCGTCATTTCAAACTCGAGTCAAGCGACTGAAGCGACTGTTTCCTGAAAAAAGCAAGAACGATAACATTTTCTCGTTTTGCTTTTTGCAATTGCTTGGTTGACAACAACTAGAGAATCAGCCACTGGAGGCAAATTTTCTTTCTTGACTGAAAAAAGGCAAGCAGTGCAACAAATATTTCATTTTCTCATTGCTCAGTTTTCTTTCTTGCCTGAAGAAATGCAAGCAGAGCAACAAATTTGTCTTTGTCTCATTTGCTTTGTTGTTGTTGTTGTAGCAGTAGTACATGTGTGTGTTTCTGCTCTGCTAATCTGGTTCCAGCTCCAGGTTTAGAAATTCGGCTACTTTAACGGGCTGTAGCCAGAGATCCTCTGGAGTGAGTTGGGTAGGTTTGGCTGAGCAATTAAAAAGGTGTAGCGTATTGTGCGGGCCTGTATCGCACGCCGGGCAGGCGTCACGCACATCTTCATCAATTCGTGCCCAATACGAATTGAGGCGACTACACCATCCTGAACGTAATTGCGCCAAAACTACCCTGGTTTGTCTAGGCAGCTGACGTTCTTCGGCTGCAATGGATGGGGGGTGGACTCCGAGGACGGCATTCACTTTGTAACTGCTAATAGCATCCGCGACTGCATCGGTGTGAATGCCACTCAGACCTGCCTGATAGGCTTCTTGATCTGGAGGCTCTCTCTTGTAGCGCTGGACCTCCCTCTCTAGATCATGTATGTCCTTCCTGACACGCCTGGGTGGGGGAGAGTTATCCACCATATGATGGTTGGGATGACTCTCACGGTAACACCCAAGCAGGTACTGCAACGAAAGCATATGATTATGCTGACGTAAGGGAAGGACTTTCGCCTCCTCATGTAGATGGTCCACTGGTGTCATGAGGAGGCACCCTGTCGCAGTTCTCAGGGCAGCGTTCTGGCAGGTCTGGATACTCTTCCACTGCGTAGCACTAGTATTCGCAGACCACACTGGAGCCGCATAGTTGACCACAGACCGACCTATCGCGTTATAAGAGGTCAACAAGGTTTCTTTGTCCGCACCCCAAGAGCTGCCGGCTAGCGCCTTGAGGACCTTGTTCCTACTTTTCATCTTGTCGCAGATAGCTGTGGCTTGCGCGGACGACTTGAACATGCTGTCGAACGTTACCCCAAGAATCTTGGGGTAGTTCGTGGTCGGTATTAGATTCCCCTCGACCTGAACATTCAGCTGTGTTCTCATCTCCGCAGACCATGTGGTAAAGAGTGTGGCCGTTGATTTCGTGGCGGATATTTCCATATTCCTCGCGTGGAAGTATGCGGCAAGCTCCGCGAGATAGGGGTTCAACCTTTCGCATATGTCATCGACCACTGGACCCGACGCCATGATCGTACAATCATCCGCATACGTTACGATCTCAATGCCGTCTGGAGGGCGAGGAATTCCGGAAAGGTAGAGGTTAAACAGTTCCGGAGATATCACCCCGCCTTGGGGAACTCCCTGTTTCACTCTACGGGCTTTGGACTTCTTGTTCCGGAATTCCACGTACGACTGGCGTCCACACATATAGTTGATTATCCAACGTTTCAAACTTGGCCGGAGGGTAGTTCTCTGTACGTCCTCAAACAGTGTGGCATGATTGACCGTATCAAACGCCTTTGATAGGTCAAGGGCTACCAACACTGTTCTGTCACACGGCCTGTTCTGGTTCAGTCCTCTACTAATATGTGTGGAAATGGCGTGTAATGCTGTTGTGGTACTATGTTGTGGACGGAATCCATGCTGGTGGTTGGCAACTGTATAGCTTCCTCTAATGCTGGGGAGGAGTAAAGCCTCAAGAGTCTTAGCTACTGGCGACAAAAGCGAAATCGGCCTGTACGATTCGCCTTTACTGGCATCCTTGCCTGGCTTCAGTAGCGGGACCCCCGGCCCATTTTCCAGGTTTCGGGCACTATGTGGGTGGCTAGCGACAAATTGAGAACTTTCGTTAAGTACTCGACTCCCGGCGTATCCAGCTGCTTCAACATTACCATTGAGATTCCGTCCGGGCCCAACGCTTTGGATGACTTAGCGTTACGGATGACATTTGCAACATCACCCATCGTAAACTGTGGTGGTTCCTCCTCGGCGGGAAGAGACCTGATACGACGTAGTACTCTTCGCTTCGCCCTATCGCTCTCGGGGTGCTCGACAAATTGTCGGTTAAAATATTCCGCGCACCTCTTCGGATCAGTCACCATTACGTCGTTAAAAGTGACTGAGGTCCTATCATCCTTTTTTCCAGGGTTCGAGAGCGATTTAACCGTTACCCACAGCATACTCATATCGGTCCCAATGTTGCAGCACTTCAGATGGTCTAGCCACTTTTTCCTCTTATGCTCCTGTACCAACCGGTTGACTTCCACTGTCAAATCACTGATTCTAGGATCAGTAGGGTTGGTACGACGGAGATCATCACGCTCATTTGCTAATCCCGCTGCCTCTGCTGGGAAGTTTGGTCTTAACTCGGGTATTCGACCAGCAGGTATATAGCGAGCGGCTGCAGCTCTGATGATGTTTCGGAAAATCCTTTCTACTACACGAACATCAGAAGGGTTGTGCAGTTCTCTGAAGCGGCGGTTGGTGAATTCTCTGAACTCTGGCCAGTGAGCTTTCCCATGGTTAAGGAAAGTGCGGCGTTCAGAGGTTATGAAATCTGGCGACCTGCTTATGGAGACGATTATCGGGAGATGGTCTGAGCCAAGAGAAATGACGGGTTGCCAAGTCACGTCATTTATCAGACCGGGTGACACTATGGTTAAGTCTGGCGAACTGTGACACTCTCCTCTTATTCGGGTGGGGGCATCCTCGTTAACCGTGCAGAATGTGGAGCAGTCAATCTGCTCTGCCAGCGCTGATCCCCTCTGGTCATTACCTAGGACGGAATGCCACAACTCATGGTGGGCATTAAAATCCCCTAGTACCAGGCGGTTATTGCCTACCAATAATGGGCTAATATCAGGCAAATAACGCGGTTCACAGCTATTAATCGGCGGGATATACACATTAAGCACCTCTACCTCGGCAGTTCCACACTTGACTGCTACCCCCATACATTCCATGTATGGGTCACTAGAGACTAGCTCAAGCGAGATAGGCCTGTACTGAACAGAATGGTGTAACAGGAACGCTAATCCCCCACCTCCACTTCTGGTGCGATCCTTCCTTAGTACGTTGTAACCATAACAACGTTGTAGGCTGCAATTTTCATTCAGCTTGGTTTCCTGCACCGCTGCGATCTTAATATTCCTCCGACTCATAAATTCCACTATCTCATCTATTTTGCCTCGAAGTCCGTTGCAATTGAATTGCAAGAACGATGCACAATCCGGAGTTGGAACAGCAACATGTGGCGTTAGGTGCTGCGGTGTTGGTTGCTGTTCGGGAGACTGCGGTGGAGTGCCATACTCCGACGACGTCTCTGACGAGGACGACGAAGAAGAGGACTCGCTGGGGACTACGTTACTGCAGCAAGTCGCAACATAATCCCTTTCGCTGTAGTCTCGCAAACGCCTTAATCCGGAACAGTTCTTGAAGTGCACCCACTCTCTGCATCCATTACATCGCACCGAGACAGATCTGTGGTGGATGACGTTCTGACAAACCGAGCAGAACCAATGTCCGGGGTTTTCCTCAATCCCGGCACGGACCAATAAAATCCGGAGCAAGCATTCCGGGATATGCTGCTCCCAATGCAGAAAAATAAACAAACACAAACATGTACATTTGCTTTGTTATTTGTCTTTGCTGAACATTAGTATTTTGTGAAGCTTAGAAAGCATCGTTGCACACAAAGTTAGGCAAACCAGTAAATTAAACTATTTGTCAAAATTCTTGGATGCAAAATAAGTACACACCGTTTCATCTCGCGACTGGTTTCCTATTTTCATTACGTGCTATTGAATGTAACATACAACATCTGACACATCTCCTATACCCAATAAATTTCCAATCGTTCACGACAAACTAACCAAATCGTCCCAACATGTTGTTCAGTTTGCAGGAGTGTATTCGGAGGAATATGTTTTTGTGAAATGGCTGCATTTTTTAGTACCATATGAATAAATGTTCCACTTTGCGTTCACACTGAAAAATTTAATTAAAAAATATTACTTTTGTTAGGAAATATACAAAACACTAAGCCGTTGCCTCTATTACTCCATCAAAAGGAATTTGAGTGAACTAACAATTCTCAATATCGCCGACTACATAACGGTCATTTGGTAGCACCTTGCGCACAACATAAGACCCTTCTAAATATCGGCAATAACTTCTTGTTAACTCCTACTGTTGGATCTACATTTTTTATTACCATGAAGTCGAGTTCACCCTACAACCTTTTTCTTCAGATCGCCGCTCTACTTTTGTGACCTCACAACAGTAGCTTCTGATTTTTCTCTAATCTCCTTTGTATCGATATATTTCTTACAACGTTACTGATTTTAGATTCGTAAGAATAACAATTCGGTTTCAGTGGATCTAAGAATACACTCAAACTCCCTGGGTATTTATGTATACTTGTTTTTTCTTCAAGCACTTTGACAACTAATTTAATTTCTTGGCTTGGACTAAGTGTATTTAAAGTTTGCTTTTTAAATATTATAAAAGCCATATCTGATTTTAAAAACCATAACTATTTTTTTAAGACACATCGAAGTCAATTGCAACAAAAACGCCAGCAAATAAAGCCAACGAAATTATTGTTCAAAATGAAACAACTCTTATTGACCCAAATGCTGGTGTTAGTCCTGCTTCGGACAAAGAAAACAAAAACAATGAAGTGAGTTTGAAATCAAGCGTTGATTATGTAACCCCAAGGCATAAACGAGAAACCGGACCAACGATAAAAACGGCGGAGGAGCAAAAACAAGGTCCATTTGTTACAACCAGAAATTCTGCAAAGAAACAGCTTATTTCGAAAATGATTATCACGAGAAAACGTTACTCTCAAGAAAACCTTACTTTGCTAAGTCCTGTGCATAAGCCACAAGCGTATAAAAGCCGCATCCCCGTAAGCCGACAGCATCCAGATATAAAAAATTTCGTACCCACCTCAACACCTACAACGGCAGTAAAAAAGGCGTTTGCAAAAGGCCAGAGCTCACGCACGAAACGATCGAACTTGTCTCTGGCTATGAACCGTTTGCCGAGAAAACCATCTTCAAAAATGTCTAAATCAACAATTGCCTGACGTAAATAATGATTTGTATCGTTAAAATTTAGTTTTATACATTCTATAAATATATCAATATTTTAGATTGATTGAGATTAACTTCTAAATATTGTTATATCAATACATTTTTAATAAAAATTGAGTCATGTATGTAATGTAGCACGAACAATTGTGTTTTCTTTTATTATTTTTATTTAAACAGTCTAGAAAAAGTTACATTAAATATATCAGTTGTTTGGAGTGGACTGCATGTGTAGCTAATTTTACCACTCATATTATACTCAAACTACAATCGGTTTGGGTATCTTTCGGCGATCTCCACATCCCAACAGTGATCCAAACGTCAAGAAGTGCAGTAAACCACACACCATATACATACATATAAAGTCTAGCATAGCCACAAGAAAGTCTGCAACCTATCGGGTACAAGAAACCTCAATAACAATCTCTCTTCTCTTATATGCCAAAACTTTGAGAAATGATTCACCAAATCAAAAAAAAAAAAAAAAAAAAAAAAAAAAAAAAAATATATATATATATATATATATATATATATATATATATATATATATATATATATATAGAAAAACTTATTGACACCATGAATTCTTTTATGACCAATAAACATTGCATGATGCAACATATGACGAGCATCAGTTTATGCTAATGCAAATCATTTTAAAACAAAAATATAAAGAGTCAAATCTGTTTTTGGAACGCAAACGGGTTTAGCCAACATAAACACAAGGTCGAAAGCTTAACATTCTACTGGTATAAGAATTTCATTTTACTTTTGAATAAACGGTTACAGTACATATGACACTACACCCCTTGTAGAAGAGCTTGTCTTGGCATCGCGGTTATAATTTCTATTTACCTTCAACCCCTGTCAGAACATATACAGTTATATATGCTATAAAATGTCCCACAGGACATCGGGAGCAACTTGTGATATCTGCCGGGCTTCCGACATTTAAAAACGTCCGGAGAGAGAAGAAATGTTCGTGGTAACTTCGTTTGGCTTGTAATCAAACCATTCACCAACTGTAAAAATTTAAGGATATTCAATTCGGAACTTCCCCTTATTATCGGTCAAATAAACATTACAACTGGATGAAGTAAAAATAAGTAATAAGATCGGTGTTGAACGTCCCAATGCCGCTATAGGAACGAATTCCGAACGAAAAAATACAAAATTAAATTAACCTTTTTTCCTTTTTTTAAAATTTAGCAAATTTTAATTGTTGATCAATTGACGAAGCTAATTGTTAGTAGAGTGCTGCCACATAATTTGTTCTTGAAGGCCAGTTTTTCTTCCAACAAAAATGGTTCATTCATGTTAACCGAACCGGGCTGACCTTTGAATATCAAATGGTGGACGGTTTTGGCAATTTAAAAAAATAAATAAATAAAATCCGTTAAAAATTTTGTTAAACTCTTGAAAATACCGAATGTAGCCGTTATATTAGGGTCGATACGTAAACGTGGACCTGCTTAGGCAACTTTTGTCATAAAAAAAATAAAATTCCATAAAATTTGGAATAATTCCGGTGAATAATGTCGCTAAAATCATCACAGTACCGAATATCGGGGAGTACCGTTATATGGGGGCTATACGAAGACGTGGACTTGCATTGCAAAAGGGAGGTACCATTATATGGGGGCTATACCAAAACGTTGACCTACATCACCCATTTCCAATACCATAAGTTCTGCAGAAATAATACATATTTGAGTAAGCCAACAATTTGTAGATAAACTTTCCAATCTTCAAAAATATTGGTTTAGATAGTTAAATAAAGGCAAATATTAATCAAAATAATACACTAAATAAAAAAATATCTGTAGATAAATAATAAAGAAAGAGTTTGAGTCCGCTCGGGATAAATATCAAACAATCTAAGCCAATCTGATGGAAATTCTAAAAAAGAGACGAAATCAGTCAGGAACTTCAGGGCGCGAAGACCCTACAAATCGACCTTTATTTCATAGAAACAAAAGGTGAAGCTGGAAGGATTGTTGATAGATTTCCGCTATCAGATCTAAACTTTAATTTAGCATGGGATGCTTTAAAGAAAAGATATGAAAATAAACGAATTCAAGTAGACAACCAGCTAAAAATTGTTTTCGAAATGGTGCCAGCGAAATCTGAAAATAGCAAAGATATAAAAAGAATCCAGCTAACGATGAGCGATTCCTTAGTGTGACTGAGTGGGATCCGATATTAATTTATTTATGTTCGAAAAAACTCCCAGTTGAAACGCTGACACTATGGGAGCAATCACTATAATCTTATTCGGAGTTACCAAAATGGCCTCAAATGGAAGAATTCCTAATTAATAGGCATCAAGTTTTAGAACGAATTGATCGCCTCAAAGCCGCACCAGAATATTCACGTTTTGACTATGGAGCGCAACATCAAGCGAATTTTACAACATCGAACAGATGTAATTTATGCGGAAATATCATTTACTAAGAAATTGTCCAAAATTCAATAGCATGTCCGCAAATCAATGCATCGAAGTAGCTATAGAAAAGCGTTTATGCAACAATTGCCTTACCATTGGACACATCAGTTAAGAGTGTGTTAATGTGCACAGATGCATGCATTGCAAGAAAAAACATCACACAAAGTTGCATTTAACTAATACTTCACAACACAACCGAACGCTAATTTTGTAGCACGTGATGTCAACAGTTTTACGCATTCTCAAGCAGATGGTAGAACTGAAACGCATTTTATAAACGAAGATTCGCCAAATGAATTGTCATGTTCTTCAAATACAGTTTCAGCCTCACATGTTCAAACTCTTGCGATTGTTAGTCACGATGATGTCCTGCTACCAACCGCGTTGGTACAGATTAGACATTGCGGACAATGTTTCACCTTACGGACTCTTTTAGATTCGGCGATCGTTTTTGACGAACAAAATTGTAAAACGTCTGGGGATCAAAACACAGCCAGCAGATTTTCATAAGTGGTTTGAGTGGTACTGTAGTAGCCAATGCAAATAAATTCTGCATAATTACTCTTTGCGCTGATAAGCAGGATTTCGAACTAGAAACAGACGTTATCATAGTAAGAAATCTTGCAAACTTACTTCCAACTAGATAACTTCCACAAGCGAACTTAGGCGAAGTTCGTGATTTAAAACTTGCAGATCCAGGATTTTCTGTATAAGCTCAAGTAGACCTGTTGATAGGAAGTGACATACTACCATCTATATTACTAAATGGTATACGAAAAAACATTCTGGACAATATGATTGCACAAAACTACGGATGGTATATATGGGCCAATAAAATACGACAGTATTGTGTTATCCACAATAGAGGTATCTTCGTATTCAGAAGTCGAAATCATTGGTTCTTTATTAAGAAAATTCTGGGAACAAGAGGAAGTAAAACGGGCTCCTATATTGACAGAATCGGGAGAGTATTGCGAACGATTTTATAAGGAAACAACGTGCTGTCGTTCGAACGGAAGATATATAGTAAATATATTATTATATTTATATATTTAGAATCGTCCCGATTCAAAGCTTTACGTCAGTATGAAAATATGGGAAAAACGTTAAACAAAGACAATACACTCGCCAAAAGTACTATCCGTATTGTTTACCACACAATGCTGTCTTTCGAATGGAAAGCACTAGCACAAAAGTTAGAGTTCATATTCCCTAAATGATGGCTTGTATACTGGTCCAATTCTACAAAATGAATTAACATCATTAACTTTAAACTGGCGACTTTACAAATACGTATTCAATGGTGACATCGAGAAGATGTGCCCCATATATTAATACACGAAGCTGATAGAGCGTATCAGAGAATTTTATTTCGTAGAAACGAAAACCGCCCAATCGAAGATTATGAAATTAATACAGTAATATTTGGTATAAACTGTTTGCCATATCTGGCAATAAGAAAGTTATTGCAGGTGGCCACATATTGGCAAATTAAGCGGCCGCTCGCAGCAAATATAATACGAAAAGAAATAAATCTCGATGACATTTTAGCAGGCGGTCATACAGTAGCCTGAGCCCTGCAGGCACAAAAGGAAGTTATTTGAACACTGAAATCAGCCGGAAAATAACGGCAAACCACCCAGATCTTCTCGCTGATATACCACATAATGATTTACTAAATGAACACTGGGCATTCGATGGAATGCACTAACAGACAAATTTGAGTACAAAACTTTCGTATATCTCTAAGATATTTGACCCAGCAGGTTGGTTAGTCCCGGTAATCGTACAATGCAAGATCTTATTACAAGAAATGTGGCTAGATGGGGTTGTTTGGGATGGCAGTTTCCGAATCCATTATGTCGAAATGGCAATTATTTGTAGATTCAAGAGTATGGAATCCATTAAAATACCGAGATCTGCACCCATCTCGGTATTTTATTGGCCCAGATAGTAATATTCAACTTCACGGATTCTGTGATGCATCCAAAAAGGCTTATTGTGCTGCAGTGTACATAAGAACAGAGAAAAAAAGTAATACAGCGGTACATCTACTAGTGGCAAAGAGCAAAGTTACTACTAAAGTGAGTCTACCAAGGTTAGAATTATGTGGGGCAGAATTGCTATCTTTTCTTACTATAAATGTAATGAAAAAGCAATCAATAAAGAATTGTTCAATTCATTTATGGCCAGATTCGACTATAGTGTTAGCTTGGTTGAAAAAGCATCCTTCTTGGTGGAACACATATGTAGCGAATCGATCAGTGCGTATAACTGAAAACGTACCAGAAGCAACATGGAGACATGTTGCTTCAGAGAGCAATCCAGCGGACTTAGGTACCCGGGGATGTAGCTCATATAATTTATAACAAAATACCTTATGGTGGAATTTTCGGAAATGGCTTTTATATTCACCATAACAGTGGCCCGAATCTCACTTCGAATATATAAATCCACCAGAGTCTAGAAGGACTTTAGTGCATTGTACTGACCACAAGGAAAAAATAGTCGATAATGTGGAGTTTTTCGAAGGATACACTTCATATCAGCGAACTATACATTTTGTAGCTTACGTGTGCAGATTCATTAATGGTGCACGAAAAATTTCAAAGCCACCTAAAATCGAAGATTTATCTACAGAAGAAATTGAAAATGCTAAAAAAATCGGTGGTTCGTTTTACCCCAGCAATGTAGCTTGCGA